AGGCACCTATAATTGTTGGTGAGGCATAAGAAGCCCTATAGTGAGAACACAGAACTAGAAAAGAAGCTTGAAAAATTACTGCATATAATGATATCTTATTCTAATTTGTCTAGACTGTGACTTGGAAATAGTGATCGAATTGCACATATAAATCCCAACATGTATGGTAGATGTAGTATTCCCCTCAGAGTTACTCAAAGACACAATCAAAAAATAAAATAAAAAGTTCTTTATAACCACTTTGTATTACCTTCTCTTTAGGGTGGAATAATTTTATGCCTTTATGCCAGAAGCATGGGGACTAAAGAGTAGAGTTTGGGAGCCACGTATACATTATAATTATGCTTTTTATCCCTTGCTCAGTATTTGCAAAAGATTTTTGCAGAAATAACCACAAAAAATTGAAATCAGGGAAAATTAAAATTGCCTCATAATGCTAATTAATGTAACACTCCAACAATAGCTCTTAAAAAAAAACACTTTTGTCATCATGTTATTTCTTTTGCACACTGATTAATATATATATAACTCATTGATTTTCATTGCATCACAGACACCACAAATGTATTTTGTTTACTTCAAAATATTTATTCATTATTTAGTTCTTTTAGTATGGCCAACTTCATGCATATTTTCTGTACCTCCCTCTTTGCCCTAAGACCAGATTATTATAATAATATCAGTTTTAAAACTTCTAAAGTGCTCACTGTGAGCCTGGGACAGTGCAAAGAGCTTCACATGTATTATGAAACTCATTCTTCGAAACTGCATTATGTGGAATAGTTTCTATTATTATCTCATTCACATCAATGACTGGTTTACCCAAATGATCCATATAGTAATGGCTGCATCCAGGACTGTTCCTAGTTTGACTATAAACCCCATGATCTTAATTCTTTGGCTTCACAGTGGTGTCAAAAGGTGAGGACTTTTTTATTGCTCTTTAATAGATTTTATAGGATTGTGTTCTAAAGGCTTGGTGCAACTTTTCAGTGGCCTAAGAGCCATTGTGTTTTCTCTCATACTGAGTACCATCAGTTGTTGTTATCGTTGTTTTATTTAAAAGTGGTAAACTGCAGAGCGTTTTTTTCTTCCCCTTTTTAATATTTTTTTTACCAATAAACTGAAAATATTTGTTACCTAATTAAAGTACGCATTTGTGAACTTACTCTTCCTGCTTTTCTCTCATTTATCTATTTGGATCTTAGTGTTTTTCTTATCTGCTTATATGATCTCTTGTTTAAGAATTTAAATCATTTATCCATAGCCTGTAGTCTTGGTTCTCTGATCTAGTATCTTTGAGAATTTCTTCCCTAGAGTTATAATCACCTTACTTTGGTAGGAGGGAGGTTATCTTACTTACATTGACACACTTCATGCATATATTGATCAACTCTGTGTTAAGTCCTGGCTAAAGTAATTTTATTTGAATCTTTTTTGGTCTGGAAAGCTTCTGTTATCATATTTTAATCTTCTGAAGGACAAATCGAAATATCTTGTTAAAACAAAGACCCACAGTTTTTTTTATTATAAGCCTGGAAGAGCTAAACTACTTTAAACTTAGCTAATAATGATCTTGTGATAGCTGCATGAAGTTACTTGCAGGCTTCCAGGTGCTACAGACTGAAGAGGATGCAGATGTGGCCTGTGTGGAGCCATCGCTCACAGAAATTAGATGGGCTGCTATTTCTAGCACATTTTGGTTTCTATTTCTAAATTATCTCTGAGACTTGTAAGCATTTTCAACCTGTACTTCAAGTATTTATTGATTAAGGAAAGAGCATGTATACCATCTGGTCCTGAGGTGTTACTGTGACAGCATCCTCAGAGTTTATTTTAAAAGATTTATTTGGAGGGTTACTCTTACACTTTTGATAGTCCTAGTAAAGGAACTTCAGTTTTAATCTTCTTAATAATGCATAGAATGCTGGGATCACTACTAAATCCTTAGAAAAAATATTTTATGGAATTGATTCTTCAAAAAATTACATTGACCCTTCTGTACTTATGTGAGTCGGTCTGAATATAATCAGCTATTTAGTTATGTTATAAATGGAAATACTTGGTGTGATAATATTATCTGGATCATGAAAAAAACAATTCCTCTGAGATAATAAGAATCTAGTCCATCACTTTGATTATGATATTACTAAGACTAAGCTACCACTTTTCTCCCAAAATGTATGATATGCCAGATCCTGATCTAAGTGAATATATATATTCTCTCACTTCATTTTCACAAAACTGTAGAGATAGGATCTGTTATTATTCCTATTTTATAGCTGTCAACTGAAATACAAAGAGGTTAACTAATTTACCCAAGCTAATTTATTTGTGCTATCTTAAAACAAGTCAGACACTATCAGTGCAAAATCTAAAGCAATGACTCATAAGAAAATAGAAGTACAAGTGTTTGATTTTACATGATTTCGTATTTTTGATTAAAGTTTATTGAAACTTTAAATCAAAATTCTAGTGATAAGTAAGGTAGTAAGGTGATTTAAGTTCTTCCAGACTAAAATTTGTGGATTGAGTGTTACAGTGAATAGCATGTGTATGTGTGTGTGTGTGTGTGTGTGTGTGTGTGTGTGTACTAACTTGTAAGACAAAAACCTTATTATAAATTTTCAAATTAGGACGACTGAAACAATATTATTTTTAGGGTCATTAGTGTGGTTTTTGTCTCAGGACACTGGCTGAATATTAAATCCTGTTAGGTAATGGCAAGCCACAGTGAAGTTACCATCTTCTTAAACACAGCTCTACATGAGTTTATAAATTGTGTATAGTTTACAACTAGAAGTATGTTTGTACTTTATTAGGAGATCTCATCATCCCTTTTTTTGAATCATCAAAAAGTAATCAGATACTTTTGTCAACAATTATTATTTATTAATTATTTATTGAGTTGGAACTGTGCTGTTTGAAATTAACACATATATGCAAACTTTCCACATTAATAACTATCAGCAAATGAGATAATTGTGCCATAGTTAATACCAATTATAGTAAAACGCTGACTACTTACGGATGCCATTCATTTCCTTTAAACTGTGAAGGAAAAGAAAAGATCAAAGAACATTCTCATCTTAGGGAACTAATAGTCTAAGAAAAGAGGAAGGCAAACGTTCTTTAAGGGCAGATAGTAAATGTTTTAGGGCCCTACATTGTCTGTCATAACTACTCAACTGTGTCATAACAGTACTAAACAAGCCACACACAAGTAATGAGTTTGGCTATGTTCCAGCAATACCCTATTTACAAAATAAGTGGTAGGCTAGATTTGGTCCAAGGGCTGTAGTTGGGCAACCCCTAATCTGAGTGCTGATACAAACAAAAACAGGAAAATTTATTTATATAAGAGATCAGTACGTGTTTAAGACATTAAGGAAATAAATATAATTATAAAGAAATATAGTGAGATCTGCCAAAGTATTTCACACGTTTTAACTACTCTTTAAGTATTTTAATATTTTGATATACCTACATTATCTCTACAGTGCAATAATTTTAAGGCATATTTTTTTAAAGATTTTATTTATTTATTTGAGAGAGAGAGAGAGAGTGTGTGAGAGGAGCACAAGCAGCAGGGGAAACAGGCAGAGGGAGGGAGAGGCAGGCTCCCCGGACGGTGAGGCTTGATCCCAGGACCCTGGGATCATGACTTGAGCCGAAGGCAGATGCTCAACTGACTGAGCCACCCAGGCACTCCTTAAAAATAGATTATAATAAATAGTCAAATAGGAAATAAATGTCACAGTGGCCGTTTATATTTACTAGGATTCCACTTTAGTGACAGCCAAATTCCCAGATAATTAGTAGTCCTAAAAATTAAAACATCATCAGTTAAAAAAAAAAAAAATATATATATATATATATATATATATATATATATATATATACATATATTGAATATTCCCTACTTTTCCTTTGAAAAAGACCCTTTGGAATTTTTGGAATTTGAGTTGGAAATAGTTGTCTACCTTTGTTAGCATTTCCAAATTTGTGTTATGTTTATATTAAACTTTCCTCTCTTTATTTGTTATAAAATAGAGTAGATACATTTCAAATAATTACAGTTCAAAATAGACAGATTTTAGACAAAACCCTAGGCCTGCTGGTTTATGTATCATTGCTGAGCTCATTTTGCAGTTCTCTTGAAATCACTAGAAACACTATTCATAAAATATACTAGCAAGTGAATGCATTGAAGCACTAAATAACTTCTATGTTATATTCTGCCATCAGTTTATGTGGTTTCTAACGATAAAGTGCGTTTTAGTAAGCAATTTACTTGGTATTTTCTGGATTTTTTATGAATATGTGGAAAATTTGAAAGAATCTTAAATGTTGTAATATCCAGAAAAGTGCATGTATTATATATAGCTTGCTTTTTAAATATAATAGCTCTATAAATATATATTTGGAGATGCATTTTTTAAGTCTGAATATGTAAATTTAAATTGGTAGTTTTCCATAGGTGATTGGAGAAGTCATGTAAGCGTAACATTTTCAATAGGTTGTGATAAATAATGCCACCGGCACTGGCATACGAAATCAGTGGGTCAAATTAGCAGGACATTGTTCTCCCTCCTAATTTGTAGGCTCTATGCAAACATGTATTTAAAGGACAATTTAGCACGTCTTCTGAATATAAATTTTACAGGAATTTCCGAGGAAAGATATATTTAAATGGGCTTACATCTTTATTTGTATGTCTATATTAATTGCATAATCAAATGCATTGGCTCATTATATTTCCTACTGAATAAGATTTTAAGTAAAATAAAGATAACTATTTAATATAGTTTTGTATTTCTTAAGTCCATAAAATGCTTTTTAATTTGAAAGGCATTGTGGAAGAAATTTAATTGTAATGCATTTAGGGATTTTGCTTTTGAAAAGCAAAACAGACACCTGTCTAAATTCATAGTGTCTTTATGCTATATTGAGGGAGTGGGATGTCTTCCTTATCTTGGGCTCTCTTGTTTGCTTTTCAGTTGCTGCGAGTGTGGCTGTGGAAGGGCTTCTTCCCTGTGCGCTGTTGCCCATCCAAGCCTAATATGGTTAGTGTTCCCCTCCCGCTTTCACTCCTATGTAATGTCCCACCTATATGTATTATCGTCAGCATTCCTTTTTTTATTTTTCTCCATTTGTGTACATTTTAACAGTTAGTGCACCAGTTGTGCCTAAAAGAAGAGGAGATTGAAACTGATTTCCAAAGGGGAATCTGAACAAGTTATTGGATAACAGATAATTTCAAATAAAATATACACATAGCACATCATCCTTATGTCAAGCATTCATACTTCTCTTCCAGAGCTTTTACTGTGGTCCTGATTTAAGCCAGAAGTTGTAAGATTGGAGCATCTGTTTTACATTTAACATGTTGCTGTGTTTGTTGTTCCATTAAGATTAAAATCATATCATATATGGAAGTGGAATGCTAATTCTTGCTGAAATCCTGCTTCAAGGTGAAATCACCATTTCGCTCTCCCAGAACCATGGAATGACCATAACTTAACTGGGATCTTCTATTTTTTTTGTAATCATTGTGTATACATGTGGCATTGGAGAATAGAACCACATGTAATTTTAAATGGTTTATTTAATATTTTAAGTTTGGATTATAGTTCAGATGTTAGATATTAGAAGTAATATTTCTTACTTGATACTAGTGAAGTAAAAAATATGCACATTTTGGGGATCAGTGTCCAAATGTGATAGTCTTAATTACTTAGAAATGCAAATCCTAAATATATATCTGGGTTATAGCTATAAAGCTATAGGCTAGGAGGAAAGACCAGAGACCTCTATCCACAGATTTAGAGGGACTCCTATACAATAATGAGCTATCTTGTAAAAAGTGAAATAATCTAGATAATTTCTGCCCAGATGAAAGAGTCTAAATCCCTGCACAATTGTATTGAGCTGTGATCTGTAGTCAAAATTTGCCAGGGAGAAAGATTCTGAAATGCATTTTAGAGAAGTATAGGGTTTCCTTGGGGTAATTTAAATTGTAACTTGCATTCTCTAGGTATAAATTAATTTTTGTTGATTAAGAAAACTGCTGTGAATATGTGCACACGCATGTGTGCATGTGAGAAATGGTGGAATGGATACCAGTGATCTTCTAAGAATGAGAGAAAGTAACAAGCGGATTGGTAAAACTCAGAGATTTTTTTTCAGTCTTTTGAAATTTTTTTTCTTGAAAAAAGTTTTGAAGTTAATATGGAAGCACAGATCTGTTTCACATGATTTAACTTACTCTGAAAATTCTTTTATGAGCATGGGGCTTTGGTGACAAACCAAAAAATCCTGAAATCTGGCAATGGCTAAAGTATAACATAAATAGCTTTACATTGTGATTTTTTTTAAACTCTCTACGAAAAGCTAAAAACAAACAAACAAAAATAGTTGCTGAACTGTTCATGCTACTTGAGTCTTAAGTATAGTTGTTATAAGATATACATCATCACTGATGTAGAATAAGCAGAATTTACATCTTGGCTAAAAAGATCGACATCCAGGCCTACCTTGAAGTAAATCTCAAATATAACCTTAACGAGAGTATAAAAATTTATGAAGACATGACTTAGAAAGTATTGGCAAAAACAAACTTTAGCTAGATTTTAAATGCTTGATTTTAAAAATAGTTATCTTTTATATGAAAATAATGAATCATGGAACACTACATCAAAAACTAATGAGGTACTGTATGGTAACTAACATAACATAATAAAAAAATAAATAAATAAAATAAAATAAAAACAGTATCTTTTTCCACTGTACAGTTGGCTCCAGGGAGTTTATGAAATAAATAAAAGAGGAAAAGTGGAAAGGCAGAATTCTTCCTTCACAAAGAACACATCAGAACACCTGATAACAGAAATGTTTTTCTAAAATTTTTATTCAAATAACATTAGTAATTGTGGAGGTAGTGAGTGTATTTGTGTGTGTGTGTGTGCACATGTGCACACACACACACACACTGAATGAATGAATGAATGAATGAATGAATGAATGAATTAACCACAAATGTGGTTAGATGCCTAATAAAATGCTAACAGTTTTTGTGGAAAAATTTATGGAAGATCCAGAATTTCCTTAATGCATTCTTAGTAAAACAAAACAAAATAAAGCAGAAGAAAGAAAATTTAATTGATTTTACATAAATTAACTGTAAGAGAGTTATCTAAAATTATTACTGGGAAAGAATGGAAGCTTAAGATGTTTTTATTGTTATGTTTTCTGAAATTCTGTCTCGGAATGGAATGTCAAGTCACTATGAGGTTTCAGTTAAAAATACTATCTGTTTAGATTAAAGCATTGATTGAAAACAACGTTTTATAGTGGAAATTAAGGGCTGAGAAGAATAATTTTCCTAGTACAGTACTGAACTAGTTTTCCTAGTTCTAATTTCCTAGTTCTAATGAACTAATTTTCCTAGTTCAGTACTGAACTACTGAAAATACTGAAATACTGAAAAATCTTGACCTGAAATCTTGTCATCTAATTTCATGCATATTCATATCAGTATGAGTCAATTACCACATAAATATTTTCCAATGGAACATTCTATCATCAGCATTTGTGAACAGACATATTTACAATTCTAGAGCAAAGGTTGTTAGACATTTTGAGATTTTGAAATTTCATTATTTTTCATTTCTAGAAAGACCATTCATGTATGGTTGGCTTTGACCTTAATGTAATGCAATGCATTACATTACAATGCAATTAAAATTGCCCACTGTAAATATACTGGCTTTTAAAAGTACCTTGACATACCTTGTGGAAGTCTCAGGGTCTGAAAAGCACAATTTTGAAACCACTGATTGAGATCTTTGATCCTGCAGTTCAGCTATATTAAAGCTTCTTCAATTCTCCAGAGTTGTGAGTTTTGCTGTGTCATGTCTCTCACCAGAAAACCATGCACCATTCTTTCTCAAGTGTATGGTGTACCATTTATAAGATGACATTGGTAATTAGATGTTGCCACCTTTGATCTCAAATTATTTTTCATTACTCTAGTTGCCCACTTTGTGTGGAATCTGTACAGTTATATATAATGTTAATATTTCAAATATTCTTTCTTCTTTGACTTCAGTCTATCCAATAATAGAAAATATTTCTGCAATATTTATGAATGAAACCTAGAGGCCTAGATTTTAGGTACCCAAGTTTACCTGCATTTTTAGCAGAGGTATTTTTTATTGGCAGTCTTTGACTTTATGCCATCATAACTGTCTTGAGATTCTAATTATTATATCGTTTCTCAAAGGAAATCTACTTTTACAAATATCCAGTGTTGAATGGATTGTTTTTTAATGTAAATAAAACATTAATGTGTGTAATTTCTAAAAACATTTATCTCTTAATATTCACTTGTGTTTATGCTTACAAAAACCAAAATATGTTTATAGCATAATATTTGTTATAAGTCCATCTGAAAGATCCCATCATCCCCAAATACCTTTTTCTTGTATTTCTTAAATTCAAACATATGGCAGACTATTTTCTTCATTCATTAATTTTCATGCTTTTCAAGTGTTTTCTTATCACTTGCTACTTTTTCTGCAGTGTTCAAGTGGCAAAGGAAATGGAATTTTATATTCTGAAAACAGAGGTATTAAAGGTTCATTTACCTATCCTGTGACTTTTAGGAAATCAACCTTACTTTTTAGAGATTTTTAAAAATATTATTCATCAGAGATATGAGGGAAAAACTCTAGCTTCTGTCATAATGCAGAGGTTAAAGCCAAAACCAAAACAACTTTCTCTGACCAAAAAGATCACAAATTATATTGAAACATTATCTTGGGCCGCCTGGGTGACTCAGGCAATTAAGCATCTGATTCTTGATCTCAGCTCGGGTCTTGATCTTAGGTCTTGATTTCAGGGTCCTGAGTTCAAGCTCCATGTTGGGCTCCATTCTGGGTGTGGAACCTACTTAAAAATCAAAAACAAAAACAAAAAAACAATTATCTTAATGTTTCAATGAACTATTTTTCTTTTTCTATATTAAGTGAACATTTCTTAAAATTTGAAGTGAGCAAATTTTTATTTCCACATACATACAACAGAGATTATTTCATTATCTTCACATTTCTACCAGGGAGGTATGTGGAAGTACTGTTCCATTTTATAGAGTTAAGAGAGAGACATAAAATATAAAATTATCCCTTATAATTCTAGACCCCCATTTAAAGTGCTCATAGTAGGCAGATGTACAATATACAGAGAATATATTAAATTCCAATTGAAGGCTTGTTATGTAAAATACAACAATGAACTGCTCCCAAATCCCTTTTTATAATACTTGTGGAACCTCAAGTAGGAGATATTATAGAAGATATTAAGTGGACCTACTCTAATGGAGAAATCCAATAGTCATATTCACAAAATAGTTTAAAAATTAATAGGATATTACCTACTCTTGCATTAGAACAAAATTTATTGAAAACAGGGAGATGATCTTCACATGTCATACTTTATGAAATGTATTTTTATATCAAAATTCTAAGTCAATGAAAATTTAACTCAATGTTGAAAAGTCAACAATTCATCTTTGAGTATTTGAAAGTGTTTAAGTCTTCCTATTGCTAATTCTAAAATGATCTGAAGAGTTCATTAATGAAAAACTTACCAATTCGTATGTACTATACTATTTTGGAAGCTGTTATTTCAAAGGTAGTTTTTTTTTTCTTTGTCTTTTAGAATATGGACATTAAAAATGGTACGTAATACATAAAATAAGAAATAAGTTAGTGTCTCATATTGCCTTTAATCATAGAGTGGTTAGTATCCTGACAGAATGTGAGGTGGGAACTTTGCAAGCTATGCCTTCATTTTGTGTGGTATAATCACTACATTCCCATATCCCAAGGAAAGGGTGATTTTCAACGTGAATACATTTCTCTTGAGAAGTATGCTTGAGAATTTTCAGTAAACAATAATAGATCATTTTTTTGTAGAACTTAAACCTATCTATGAGGAACTCAAAAATCACAGTGCCCTAGAATATGAATGAGGAATATATGAATGAGAGTCAAGGTCCTGCAAACAATACAGCCTAAATATCCATAATCTCATTTCACTACATTTTTCACTCACATTGTTATTGAAGAGTATCATACCATAAAACAAAACTTAATCTATTTCCAGTATTCATTAGATATATTAATAAGCTGGTGTTCATATGCTTCTTTATTTTATGAGGCTGAATTAGCTGAGCTTTCATTAAAACTACTTTTGTTTAATTGGAGAGAATCCTGAAGTGAAAAAGTCAAACTATTTCCTCAGATGCTGTAACTTATTCTTTTTAAGATGCTAGCAATAAAATTCTTAAACAAATTATGCAGTGGTTGAGGTCATTATTATGTAAGAATATGAGAGTGTGCACATTTGGAGAAGTGTGGTTTTAAAGAGGTTTAAATTACACGATTTTATTTTCCATAAGTAAAACGTAATTGACTCTGCTGCTATTTGTTGCCTTTTGAATATTATTTTTGCTTTAAAATATAGGTAAGGCATTTCTTAATCAATCTGGAAAATAGATAGGCAACATAGAAGTTTCTATTTCTGACCTAGGGACTGCATGTGTTCACTCTTTCAAAGAAATCGAAATGCAGAACTATTTCTTCTCCCATCATTGCACCCCTCCTTATATAGAATTCAGTGGGGGAAAAAAAAAGTTTTTTTTTTTTTTTCCAGTGTTTTTCTGTAGGCTAGAGAATTGGGAAACTCTGATTCTCTGGAAGCTGTAATTGAACAAGGATTTACAGTCTCCTTTGGCTATTGCTTTCACTCATCTTTCCTCATTGGCCATAAGGGTGCCATTTAGTAAATTACTAATTTTATGCATTGCTTGGTCCTCTGCAGGGCTTGACATTCATACTCTAATTTATTATCAGATTCTTAATTTACATCCAAGAATTAAATTACTCATTGGCACATCCATCCATACATAAAGATAATTGTTTACTCTTTCATTATTATGGAAATTTCAAATATCCAAATTTAGATGTTATGGTTCAGGCTAAGTTTTTAAGATCAGAATTAGTATCATCAAGGATGTGTTACTCAAATTCTTAGGACAAGTATGGGAGAAAATAGACTGGTTTCTAAATAACCTATTAAAGTCATTATTATATTTACATATTAAGTGTCTCTCTAGGACTTTTTAATAAATATTAATTAATGAATATGAATTACGCCTACATTTAATATGATTTCTCATGCCCACCTCTACTACTAAACAGTAAGAAAGCATTGTTTTCTAGGAGAACATGAGTATAAATGACAAGAAAATGATTCGCCTAATTATAAACACTCCAGATATTTTTAGTACAATGATATCAAAGCTCATTAAAATTGTGATATGGAGCAAAATGAAGAAACTGTTTCTTTTCCATTCAGAAAAAAATAAAATTGGTTCCAGAAGGTAGGAGACGTAATTTACATACAGAATGGCGTATTTATTGACTGTTTGTCTGATGGGTTAAAATTATGCATCTGGAACAGGTACAGAAGAGGATACCGAATGAACAGGCATGCTGCAATGCTTTGTTAGCGAGGCTGAACCACTACTCGAAGGCCAGGCGCGGTCAGCTGCACTTTTACCTGCTGTATCTTGTTGAGGCTTGTTTTAATGATGCTTTGGGGGCTTCCAGAACTCAATTTTATATGTTAATGTGACATGCAGCCGTATATGTTATAGAGCTCCAGAGATGGCTAATAGTCAAAAATATCTCCTTTCTATTGCCCTCGTGACTCTCACCTTAGGTATTAAAATGTTAACCAGTCCTCATCAAGGTATTCCCAGATGACTTTTTAGATGAGATCCAAAGTTTTATTTCCATTTTCATATGAGGAATTTGCATGCAATTTAAAAATCCATGGACTTATTTAATAATAAAGACTATTTAAAGATACAAGTTTGAAAGCTTGTTTTTTTTTTCTTTTGAAGGTAGGAGAGCTGAAGGTAGAATGGATGTTTGTTTTCTAAAGTAAACTGCAAGAGCGTGTATACTTTTCAGGTCTCTTTAGAATTCTTCTAACAAAGGTTTTTTGTTGGTATTATTTAAAGAACATAAATCTCAGGATGATTTCACACAATTGTAGTTAGAATATTGATTTTAAAAAGTATCAATAGCTTCTCTCTAGAGACACATGCATTAAAGATTGAAAAGATAATATAATATCTAGAAAAATTATGAACAGTGCATTAAGATAACTTAAATGTCAGACCAAAGATAATTTCAGTATGATTTTATGTATTTGTTTTTTTCTCTCCATTTCACCGCAGTGATTTGATTCAAGATGTCTTAAAGACTCTTGGATGGCAAATGCTGCTAAGTGTTATGAATAAAATTTGAAAAGCCACCAAATCCCCATTGTGTATTTTTCCTCACCCAAGAATAACATACCTATTCAGTATATTATTTCAAATTTACTCAAATTTCACTTAGCTGTCTTTTATTAATAAACTGCCAGTTCATTAACATGATAAAACAAAAGTTAATTGCATTTTTCTTTCAAAAATGACACAAAGATAGGGTGTGTTATCTACTTTGTATAACATATAGGTAATTATACACTAGGAAATGATATAGAATAAAATAGGTTTCATTTATATATCAAAATATACATATATTTAAGAAATATCATAGAATATGTAAACAAGGAACAGTCATCATTTGTATGTGTTGATTGGACACTTCATTTACGTCATATAGTAGTTTTAAACCAACTTTGTAATGAAAATATTTTGTCAATCTGTCATTTTGGCTGTATTTTCTTTATGCCGAAATAAATGGAAATTTTGTTTTTACTAAACAATTTTGTTATGAGACCTTATGAATAGTAAATTCACTTCCTTAGAATTTCACTAAAAATAATTTAACTATTTTCATCTGAGTCAGTTGTTTTAATGTTTTATTATGTACCTCATCAACTTAGTATTCATCAACTCTCCAAATACTTGTCATTGTGTGGACGCAATCAAAATATCATTCACTCATTCATTTATTCATTCATCTATGTGACAAATATTTTTGGTGCCAACTCTGAGACAGGCACTAGGTCACTGCAGAAGTTTATAGCTAAATGCTAGTTGCTGCCATTTATGAAACTGACAAACAGTAAGAGATCCAGAAGACATACAAAATGATTATGTTGCATTAAAATGGGAATCACAATGTGAGAGGAGTACAGAAAACTACTAGGTTCAGATGGGGAAAGATTGCATGAAGTTGGGGTATCGGGAAAAAAAAAAAACATGAAGAAGGCAAAAATTGAACCAGACCTTTGTTAATTGAAAATTGTTAGGAAGAATATCCTAGGTGTGGGAACCAGTATGTACAAATGTGTGGAAGCATGGAGAAATATCTTGAGGACCTGATGATCATCCAGTGTCCGTGAAGATAACAGAGATAGTGTAGGAAATATGCATTAGGGCTATGTTTAGAAATCTTTATCTTATTATCTTATTGAAGACTTTGCAGGAGTCTGTACACAGTAAAAGAGTACCTTATTTACAGTAATTTGGCTACAGCCATGTCTAGTAGAGTTTAGGAAAACAGTTACAGAATGCAGAATCATCAGTTCAGAGGCACTTATAGCAATCCAAATGAAAAATAACAAAGCCTTAATTGAAGAAGCAGTAGAGCTAATGAAAAAGAAGAGATGAATTTTAAGACTTTTATGTTATACAATGCTTGGGATTTGGCAACTAATTTGTTGTGAAGTACACAAGACAAAGGCTTTGAACACAAAGGGGCCAAGTCCTTGCCAGGGTTATTAACAGGAAAAGAAGTCAACAGATCAAGACTGAAAGTAAAGAGAAATATACTGCTTGGTTTTTCACATCTATTTTGTTTGTATGCCAGTGGAATATCCCTATAAAATAAATCTATGAGGAACAAGAGTATAACTCTCAAAAGAATTAAACCAGAATGGAGGTATTAATTAAATTGATGGAAATGAATGGATTGACAGTAGAGAACCAGAGAAGTTCACATAAATGAAGAGAGGATCAAGAAGCATCACAAAAGGAGTAGTTAGGGATTTCAGTCCATCATGAATAATTAAAAACTAAGATAAAGTCATGAGGTGACTATGTCATTAGTGAACCTCCAAGGACAGATTTTTTTCAGTAACAAGAGCAGATTGCAAGGACTTTGAAATTAGTAAGTAGTTAAGTAAAACAGGAGAGAATAAGTTTTGGGGAGTGGTGCTGAACTGAGAAGGGTTGCAGGTTGTGGTAAATTTGGTAGTGATCTAAGTGCATTGAGTGGAGAAAGATCCCAAAACCAGAGGGAAAAAAAAAAAAAAAAAAAAAGATGATAGAGTAAGATACTGAAAGGAGGACACTATTGAATCAGAGAGATATTTTGGGCAATACATTCTGTAAAAAGGCTTCTGAGGTGGCAAAAAAAAAAAAAAGTAAGAAAGAAAGGAAACAAAACTTCTAGAGTGTGGTGTATGGTGGAGAGAAGGGTTTTTTTTAATGGATTTGGATGGCTTCTGACTTCTCAGTGAAATCTGGGCAAGACTGAGAGATACTGGTGGTGGAAATATGATTCATCCAAAAGAAGGATTGGTGTTTTTTCATGCTACTAGTGTGAAAATCAGTTAGGGCTGCAATCATTTCAGTTGCATTTCATGCTTCTGGGCTTCACGTGATTCAACGCTTGGAGATGTGGCTAATTGTAGCTTACTCTGTTCCAGGCGGTGTGGTTACAGCAAAGCAAAACAGGATCCAGAAGAGGAAAAGATGCATTTTCATAATGGGCACAGTAAGCAAATTGTAAAAAATCAAGAGAAAACAAAATAGAGGAGATTTTATTATTATTTTTGTTTATTTTCAGACAAGGAGATTTGTAATAACTGACCAAAATACTGTTTTAAAAGTTTGAAAAGAATGTAAGTGTTCTGTTACATTCCTGTAAAGCATATGGGCTAAGGGGCATTGCTGCCTGACTCTAGACAACAGCTAGATGGTTTATTCAATTTTTCAAAGAACACCTTTATTATAGTTATTTTTTTTAAAAAAAACCTTTTTCAATCATTATAAAAAGCTGTTACATTTCAAACCAAATTTCCTGACCAATTCTAATTTCTTCCAGCACAGTCGGTAGAAATTTATCATTAACTAACAACATTAGATGAAACAAATAAAATTTCTCAGTATTTGTTCTTCTTTTTCTAGCATTATAGCAGGAATTTCCATGAACAGATCCTGTAGCAACAACCTTCGATCAATGATTTGAAAAAGACTATCCTTTTTAAAAATACAGAAAATCAAGTTTTGATAACATGCTTTAAAAATTAGCCTAAATGAGTTCTAATTAATGGTGTTTTAATACGTGCATTTTTTTCATAAATAGTATAGTGTTAGTTGATTTGCTGAGTAAATAAAAATAATTTCTTTTGGGGCGCCTGGGTGGCTCAGTCGTTAAGCGTCTGCCTTCGGCTCAGGTCATGATCCCAGGGCCCAGGGATCGAGCCCCACATCAGGCTCCCTGCTCCACGGGAAGCCTGCTTCTCCTTCTCACACTTCCCCTGCTTGTGTTCCCTCTCTCACTGTGTGTCTGTCTGTCAAATAAATAAAATCTTTAAAAATATAATAATAATAATTTCTTTTTTGTCACTCTGCTGTTAGCGTAAAAGTCAAAATCATTAAAGCCATAATTCATGTTGCAAAGCATTGGATCTATTTTCATAGGTCCTATCTTATTTAATGGTATTTATCCTGAAAAAAACAAACAGACTTGTGAAATTGGTAGTCATTTCATGTGATGAAACTGAGGCTCATAGAACCTTAGAGTCTTGGATAAATCCATGTAGTAACAGGGTTAGAGTGAGAGGTAGAACTTATCTTTTTCTTTTGACTTCTGTGTCAGTCATACTGGACCAAAGCACCAGAAAAATTATTTTAAATAATTTTTTGTAAAACCAGAATTCATCTGTGATGGCATTTTAAGTGAAACAGAATAACAAAACAACAAATAACTCACTAGCATTTCATTGGCCAGTTTACTAAACAAGCTTATCTTAGTTTGCCTCAGAGACTGACTCTATGAACATTATTGTTGAAAGATATATCTATTCAAATATGTTGTCATATATGCATTTCTTGTACATGACAACAATCCAGATTTCTAAAATTATAAAAATGACATAGCTATATAAATGACTCCTATAACTCAGAAGAGGGGCTGTCCTTGCAACTTGGCCATTTCTAGTAATTCGGAATTTAAGTCATAGTTGCATGTTAATAATGTTTATGATTTCAATCATCCATCACAAGCAGTTATATTTTAACGAACATTTATTTTTCCAGTTAAACTGCCAGGAGTAAGAACTTATATTGATCCACACACCTATGAGGATCCCAATCAAGCTGTCCATGAATTTGCCAAGGAGATAGAAGCTTCATGCATCACCATTGAAAGAGTTATTGGAGCAGGTACAACAGTGTGTTTAACTCAGACTTTTATTTATTTTTATTTTTTTATTTAAAATTGAGATAGTTAATATACAGTGCAATATTTGTTTCTGGATTAGAATTCAGTGATCCATCACTTACATACAATGCCCAGTGCTCATCCTAACAAGTGGCCTCCTTAGTGCTCATCTCCCATCTAACTCATCCCCCACCCACGGCCCTCCATCAACCTTCAGTTTGCTCTCTATCGTTAAGAGCCTCTTATGGCGGACACCTGGGTGGCTCAGTCAGTTAAGTGTCTGCCTTCGGCTCAGGTCATGATGTTGGAGTCCCAGGATAGAGCTCTGCTTTAGGCACCCTGCTCAGCAGGGAGTCTGCTTCTCCCTCTGCCCCTCACCCCGCTCATGTTCTCTCTCTCTCTCTCACATAAAGAAATAAAATATTTTAAAAAAGAGAATCTCTTACGGCTTGTTTCCCTCTCTCCTTTTTTTCCCTCGTCCCCTTTCCCATATGTTCATCTGTTTTCTTTCTTAAATTCCACATAAAGTGAGATCATATGGTATTTCTCTTTCTCTGACTGACTTATTCCACATAGTGTAATACATTCTAGCTCCATCCATGTCATTGCAAATGGCAAGATTCCATTTTTTTGATAGTTAAGTAATATTCTATTATATATTTGTGTGTATATCCCCTACATCTTCTTTATCCATTCATCAGTCAGTGGACATTTGGGCTCTCTCCATAGTTTGGCTACTGTTGATAATGCTGCTATAAACGTCAAGGTGCATGTATCCTTTTGAATCTGTTTGAATCTGTATTTTTCTTTATCCTCTGGGTAAATACCTAGTAGTACAACTGCTGGATTGTAGGGTAGTTCTATTTTTAACATTTTGAGGAACCTCCACTGTTCTCTAGAATGGCTGCACCAGTTTGCTTTCCCACCAACAGTGCAAGACAGTTCTCTTTTCTCTCATCCTCACCAACACCTGTTATTTCTTCTGTTGTTAATGTTAGCCATCCTGAGAGGTGTGAGGTGGTATCTCATTGTGGTTTTGATTCGTATTTCCCTGATTATGAATAATGTTGAGCATCTTCTCACGTGTTTGTTAGCCATTCTGGATGTCTTCTTTGGAAAAGTGTCTATTCACGTCTTCTGCCCATTTCTTAACTGGGTTATTTGTTTGTTGGGTGTTGAGTTTGATAAGTTCTTTGTAAATTTTGGGTACTAACCCACCCTTTATCAGATATGTCATTTGCAAATATCTTCTCCCATTCCATAGGCTGCCTTTTAGTTTTGTTGATTGTTTCTTTTGTTGTGCAGAGGCTTTTTAACTGATGAAGTCCCAAAAGTTCATTTTTGCTTTTGTTTCCTTTGCCTGTGGTGACGTGTCTAGTAAGAAGTTCTTCCTGCCAAAGTCAAAGAGGCTTCTGCCTGTGTTTTCCTCTAGGACTTTGATGGTTTCTTGTCTCACATGAAGATCTTTCATCCATTTTGAATTTATTTTTGTGTATAGTATCAGAAAGTGGTCCAGTTTCATTCTTCTTCATGTGACTGTCAAGTTTTCCCAACACCATTTGTTGAAGAGAGTATTTTTTTTTTTCCATTGGATATTCTTCCCTGCTTTGTTAAAGATTAGTTGACCATAGAACTGTGAGTCCATTTCTGGGTTTTCCATTCTGTTCCATTGATCTATGTGTCTGTTTTTGTGCCAGTACCATACTATCTTGATCACTACAGCTTTGTAATAAAGCTTGAAGTCCGGAATTGTGATGCCTCCTATTGTTTTTCTTTTTCAGAATTGCTTTGGCTATTCTAGGTCTTCTGTGGTTCCATACAAATTTTAGGATTATGTGTTTTAGTTCTCTGAAAAATATTTTTGGTATTGTGATAAGGATTGCAATAAATCTGCAGATTGCTTTGGGTAGTGTAGACAATTTAACATTTGTTCTTCCGATCCATGAGCATGGAATGCTTTTCAATTTCTTTGTGTCCTCTTAACTTTCTTTCATAAGTGTTCTGCAGTTATTAGAATACAGATCTTTTACTTCTTTGGTTAGATTTATTCCTAGGTATCTTATTGTTTTTGGTGCAATTGCAAGTGGGATTGATTCTTTGATTTCTTTTTCTGCTGCTTTGTTATTGGTGTATAGATATGCAATGGATTTCTGCACATTGATTTTATATCCTGCAACTTTGCTGAATTCATGTATGAGTTCTAGGAATTTTTTGGTGGAGTCTTGCGGGTTGTTTATAGAGTATCATGTCATCTGCAAATAATGAAAGTTTGACATCTTCCTTGCCTTTCTTTTTTGTTGTCTGATTGTTAAGGCTAAGATTTCCAGTACAGTGTTAAAGTAATGGTGAGAGTGGACATCCTTGTCTTATTCTTGACCGTAGGAGAAAGGCTTTCAGTTTTTCCCCATTGAAGATGATATTAGCTGTGGGTCTTTCATATATGGCCTTATGATGTTGAGGTATGTTCCATCTATCCCTATTTTGTTGAGGGTTTGTATCAGGAAAGGATGCTATATTTTGTCCAATGCTTTTTCTGCATCTATCGACTGGATCAAATAGTTCTTATCCTTTCTTTTATTAATGTGGTGTATCATGTTGATTGATTTGTGGATATTGAACCACCCCTGTAGAATTTCAATCAGTTGCATTTAATTTCTTTGTAATGTTTTCATTAAGGTTTTTGTAGGTCAGATGGATGAAGCTGAAAGCCCCCAGAGTGTTTTATGATCACGTATACATGCTTTTTCCCAAAACACCACTTATTCTCTTACTACTGATAATGAAGTTTGGACTCCCCTTTTAATAATGTTTTGTCTAAACCTTAGTATTCTAGGAGGACTTTAGCATATTATTAGAGTAAAGATTGAAATGAGTTTGCGTGTTTTTCCATCTTTATGACAAGGTGAATTTGGTGAAGTTTGTAGTGGACGTTTGAAACTTCCAGGAAAAAGAGAATTACCTGTGGCAATCAAAACCCTGAAAGTAGGCTACACAGAAAAGCAACGCCGAGATTTCCTGGGTGAAGCAAGTATCATGGGGCAGTTTGATCATCCTAACATCATTCACTTAGAAGGTGTTGTGACCAAAAGTAAGTACAGTAGAAATTATATGTGTATATGTATCATGAAAATCTGGGTGTCTTCTAATAGGTTATTATTAATTTCAGGATAAAAAGAAAAGTAGCCACAGGAATGTTATTAAAATTTTCTTTAATATTAATAATAATTGCCTTGTATTTTTAGTAGATTCTTGTCCAAGGTAATCTTTAATAGAACCTCAATTTCTATTTAGTTTTTCAAAACATATGTATTTACTCATTTACAATGAATTCACGGCCAGACAAAATGTATCCAGATAAAAGAAGCAGTAAAGGTATCAACATTTTTTTTTTTCCTTCTGGCTCTTTCACTTTTTATCCTAATAAAATATTAACTTCAACATTTTGACTGAGGTATTGAAGTTTAACATTTAATAGGATCACTATAATCATATGTGTCCTGCCACCTTTTAAACTGGTCTTTATAGACAGATGTATTTCTTTTATTCATTTTTTTCATTGAGATATTTTAATAATTTTAGGGAAAGCAGCAGCCACAGAAGACTGGAAAAATTGCTTGAGATTATTTTTTTTCTTAAAGAAAATTTAATTTTTACTCAAAAATATCTGGATTTTCACATTTCTTTTAAATTTGTATTTATGTCATAAATGTGACTTATGTGATGAGCTTCCCGATATAAAGAGTTCACATAATTTTTCAATCATCCAATAAAGTATTTTTGGGCCACCTGACTGAGGTCTTTATTTAAATTCATTTTTTTCCTTTGACATTTCTGTGTATTCTCATTCCTTCCTTTGTTCTTCATAATCTACTCACCATTTTCTAAATCACCTAAAAATTTTAGCAAGGAACATTCTTTAGACTTGCTTTCAATCATCTGTTCACCTTCTAGTTGCTATTAACCAAATTTAAATTATATATGCCAAATATGCATACCAGCAATATGTATTCAATAAATGCCATCAATCTATTAAGTCATTTCAAATGATTAGATATCCACTTATGCCACTTATTGACATAAGCAGATTGAATACCCACTTATTTAGCTTTTAAATATGGAAAACAAAATAGTAACAATAAAAACACAGCTTTTTCACAGTATAGACAAAAGAAGCAAGTCAAAATATTTGCCTGGTATATAACAAGTTAATTCCCAAATCATGATTTATTCACAAGTCACAGATGAGAAGGTAGCTGCCCCTTAAAAGCACTAAAACAGATCACAGCGAAAGTATCATGTTGATGATTGGCTGAACTTTTGAATCAGCTTATATTGCTAGATTGTTTTTTCCCCACCTTCCAAAGAGATACACATTTCCAGCAAGAATTCTCATAGAGGAATGTAGCATAGGAATAAAATAACCTGCAGACCTGTTTTTTTTTTTTCCAAAACTTAGATGTGTTTCTTCCTCCAGTTGTATATATATATGCCCATACTTTATTACCCCCTTGACAGTAACCCAAAGAGGGTATTGCTGGAGCAAGGAGGACATCCTTAATTCTTATCAGAACAAATAAGTTCCTAAAGAAAGGTGAGAGGCAGGGACAATAAAGAAAGGTAGAGAACAAGGAAAAATATGTTTTTTAATAATGTAAGAAATTAAAATATTTTATAAAAATTATACCCAATGATGAAAGAGCAGGAATGTTTGAAATAAGAATATGATGTGAAAAAGATGGTCACTGGTATAATAAAATGAAATCAGAATTTGAGTGTGACTACATTTTGTCTGAAGGGAAAGTCTTAAAAGGACATCAGTGATAACTTGTGGTGCTAGATACTACAAGAATTATAACAATAATTGATTACTGTTATTTCCTATGCAGTAATGAATACTATATAATATAAAACATAGTTCTTAATTAAAGTCATGGTAATAATAGTAGGCAAATATTTGATACATTTAATTTCTTCATCTCATCCTTAATATGGCGTCCTCCAAAAAATTTAACTTCCTCAAATAAACTCTGACCATGACTTCTTATTACCCAGGGTAAATGTGAAGCTCTGTAGGCAGCCAGTTTACCTTCTGTAATGAATTCAGATGTAATGTTTAGAACAGTGCCAGACCACTATTATTATTATGGAAGACAGTATTGTAATTTTGGTTCTGCCATAAACTATGTGACTTTGAACAAGTTAGTTAAACATTCAGAAATGTGGTTTCTTCGCCAGTCACATGGATTAAGAATAGATAGTGATGTTGGGAAGGGGACATGAATTAATATAGGTAAAGTTTAGAATGGACAGGGCAAAGAATGTGTACTAAAACAATATATAGTTATTACTTTCCCGTTTTATCTCTTCCTGTGCTCTGAGCTCCTTCACATGCATTATCTTTTAGTCCATTTTAACATGCTTGATATTTTGACCTACCTACACTTCCTCTTCCTCTGAAACTTACACCCTCCTATTCACTACCTTTTCAGTTCCTTCAAAACCCTGTTCAAATAACATCACATTCATGAAACAATCCCTCATCACTTCACCCTAAAGTAATCCCTTCTTCTTTTGAATCCTGTGTCAAAGTACAGATTTTTGCAGTTGTCTGTAATGATCTTTCATTTGGCCAAAACTCTTATTCAAATCTTTCATTTAATTTTGTCACTTTTGCATATATTTTTAACTCCCTAGCTAAAAAAAAAAGTCTGCTCCGTGAAGACAAAGGCAGTGTCCTAAATATTTATGTAAGCCTGTTATACCTAAAGTTAAACCAATCCATGGTCAGTTGAACATTTTGAGTCTCAATATCACCAAAAAAGGAAGAAATCATACATGACTTGTAAGATGGTTGTGCAGATTAAATTAAGATATATTTGTGTATATGTGTGTGTGAATAAAACTGCAAGTAATTAAAGTAGTAAATAAATATTTATTTTAATCTAAGTGAATGCATCAGATACTAGTGGACAACACCCCAAAATTATTACAATTCATATTCACTGAATTTATAAACTCCTGATTTATTATAGAACTTGTTTAATGTGAATGGGTCCTGACTGAGACAAACTAAGAAAACTGAATTTCTCATATTAAGTCAACTAAATTTGTCATGTATTTTATGTGCACTTAAAACCTTTATCAACAAATGATCATATCTAAATTTTGTAAATTTTAGTCTAAAAAACAGTACTGCAGTTGGGAATACAGATTTGAAATTTCCAATCTCCTAATCAAATATTCTATTTGATGTTGCTGCCATGAAACTACACATATACATAAAACAAAATGAAAATATTTAAAATATTTCTGTCCTATTTTTTGTTCTATGTGAACTCAAACTGCATTTCTCCTTAATAAATGTACCTCTTGATGTTCAGCCTAGGAAGTCTTCAGCTTGTTTTTAATTTACCATGTTGCATCTCACTTTATTTGTGTCCTTAATTTCATGCTCTCTGATCTGATGCTAATTTATTCAACAATTATTCTCAACCTGCAGCACACAGATAATGAGACATAAGTGCAACTAAATCTCTTGATTTTTCTGATTGAAGCTGAGGTAGGGAGTCTGAAGTCGCACTCCTATGGGTGGTGCCATAGTGAACCTTCATCTTTCTCGTATCACTGCCCTACATGCCAGAAACATGGGCCCGAATTCAAATTCCTTCTGTGATGTGTTGTTAAAACAGGGAATATCAGAAATAGTTATATATTCTAGAGAGTTTGTCTTAAAATGACAAATGGTGTAAAAAAACCATAGGTCCTGGCTTGACTCATTCGCAACGCAAGATGCTTTAATGTAATATATACAGTGCCAACTTTTACTATTTGAAGAGATTCAAAACTAAAGTAGAAATAGGAAAAATAATTTTCCCATTGCAGTATCTTTAGTTCTTTAAGATTTATCTTTCCCCACTTGTGGAAATTATTATCAAAACTAACTAAAGGATGGGCGCCTGGGTGGCTCAGTTGGTTAAGCGACTGCCTTCGGCTCAGGTCATGATCCTGGAGTCCCTGGATCGAGTCCCGCATCGGGCTCCCTGCTCAGCAGGGAGTCTGCTTCTCCCTCTGACCCTCCCCCCATCTCATGTGCTTTCGCTCTCATTCTCTCTGTCTCTCAAATAAATAAATAAAATCTTTAAAAAAAAAAAAACTAACTAAAGGAATACTTCTATTGAGTCTTAAAATGATTCATAGTTATATTTCTTAATCTAGGATCATGTACAAATAAATTTAGTTCTTTTGTAAAATTAATAAATTTAAGCAAAATATTAGAAGAACATTAGAGGAATCTGTCCCTATTTCTTTTTATTTCTATGTCTGAGGAGATAGCACATTCAATGACAATTGACTGTTTAAATTGTCAGACAATTCTGATTTATTAAATAAATTTGCAATTACCTTTCAAATATAGTATTTCATTCTATCTTATAAAGTCACTTCCATTTTACAGCCTCTTATTATATATTATCCAGGGATATTTCTGACAATCTTCAAACTATCCCTCCCACTTTTGTCTTTTCTCACATTAGCCCATTCCATACATATTGTCCCAAGGTAGATTTTACTAAATCACTGCTTTCCTCTGATGCTTCATCACTAAATAAGCAAACAAATGAAGCAAAATATGTGCACTTTGATGCTTAACCCCATATAATTTTGGCTATAACCTCATATTTCACTATTTCCTTTCCAGAAAAACTCTATCGAGTTCTTGTTCTACCCCTTTGAAATACTTCACTCAGCCCTAGAATGTCCTCTCCACTTTCCTTGGCTCTACTCGACCTTCAAGATTAATTCAGATGTGGCTTTCTCCATGAGATCAGTGTCATTTATCTTCATTTTTCTTTCTATTCTCAGTGCCCGCCTTGCATACAGGAACCACTTAATAATGTTGAATAGCTCAGTAAAAGAAAGCTTCCTAGTTCTACATTTGAATTTAAGCCTCAAAGAGCAGAGGTTTTTGTTGTCTTGCTCACCTGTGTGTTCCTAGATCAGGGCTCAGCATGTGTAGCAATTCATATATCTGTTGAATGAGTAAATTCTCAGCCAGAGACAATCCTATACATTCTAGTTGCATTTCTCTGT